CTCTGGAGACCAGGCTGGCCTCGAACTCACAGAGACCTGCCTGCCTCTGAATCCTGAGTGCTGGGATTAAAGGTGTGTGCCACCAATGCCCGGCTCAAAAGATTCCATCTTATGCTAGGGTCTCATAGAGACAAGTAGAAGCAGGCATCAGACTTTAGAAAAAAAATGTGTCAGATAAACGTTTTCTTTGACCACATTTATTCAGTTTTCATTTTCTAGTAGTTGTCTTTATTATTTGTAGTGCATTCTATTATCCCCCACCGTGTCTTCAACCAATCTTCCCCTTCACGCCTCACTATGTGTTTGTATATCTATGTATGTGTGCATGTGTACTGAGAATGGAGCACAAGAGACTTGAACATGCTCCATCACCAGCACTTTGTCAGGCTTGTTTTGTGCAGCTCTATAAGAGACATGGATTGGGAAACATTTTCTTAGCCCACACAAGCAAGTAGGACAACTGTCCAGGGAGATGAGCTATTAGATGTAGGGGTGATGACTGACAGGGGAATATGACAACCCTGACCCTACAAAATGTAATCCAGGCAGTTTAAAACTTGGACTCCTTGACAGACTTAGGGGAATCTGACAACCTTCCCCCTCCAGAGTGTAAGTTGAACAGTTTAAAACTTGGACCTCTTGACACTGGCCACATGCCATGGACGGTTGGTACTCCACTGAATTTGATGGGTAGTTTGTCCCCTGGCCTTGTCTTTGGGCCCAGGGGTAGCGGAGTGAGGCCATGGGGCCAGGGAAGCCCTTGGACTCAGCACATTGTGGAGAGGACAATGGGGCTAACCAGGCAGCTGAGCAGCACTTCTGTTGGACACAGCAGGAAAGGTACAAAGCAAAGGGCCCGTCAGCATTCAGTCAGCTCCCACCTCCCCCACAAGAGCCTGCTCTGGGGGACCTTTTCTCCCCTGTCCCTTTCTACCCCCTTAAACAGAAAGGCTGATTCTGAAAAGGCTAAGAAGGCCAAGCAGCGGCAGAGAACTTGGGAGACATCTCAGACTTCTGAGATCATCCTCTGCTTCCAGGCACAGAGAGAGCTAGCTGTCTATTGACCAGAGAACTCCAAGGCTGGCTTCTTTCATTTGACACGGGCTTGTGAGCGGTTCAGTTCCATGGAGCCTCACAAAGGTTTCAGTGCTGCAGACTGGCCCATTTCCTCCTAATAGAATCCCTAAAGCTGATATAGTGAATGGGAGTCTAGGTAGAACATGCCCTATTCATGACACAATCCACTCTTTACTGCTGACAAGCAGAGGTAGATTGCTTCTTTCACCTATAGAGGAGAAAAATATTGGACACTCAGTTAAGTTTCAATTTCAGATCAACAATAATGCATTAGGATAAAGAGGTGCCAAACTTACTATTTTTTTGTTTGTTTGTTTGTTTGTTTGGTTTTTCAAGACAGGGTTTCTCCATGTAGTCCTGGCTGTGTTAGAACTCACTCTGTTGCCCAGGCTGGCCTTGAACTCACAGAGATTTGCCTGCCTCTGCCTCCAGAGTGCT